TAGGGGGATGAGAGAGGAAATTCCAGAGAAGGATTTAGCTGTGGTTTTATTAAGTTGACAAATATGTTATTTCAGTAAGAAAACACACTGCACGTATTCATACAATCATACGCACACACACTGTTATGGCTCGGAAAAACAACAAGGAATTTAGATTGATGGCTGTTTTTAGATATTTGATAACATTATTGTGCTAATAGAAGGAATAAAATCTTGAAAAAAATACATTGATGGCTGTTTTTAAATATTTGATAACATTATTGTGCTAACAGAAGGAAAAACAATCTTACCCTAATTTATATACATATCTCAAGGTGGTCTTCAGACTGAAAAAAAAAATAAAATCACTACAATTACTACCTCCCGCCTTTTGAAGATTGACGTGCGATGCTTCCCAACGTAATACACAATAAAACAATATTCCGTCATTTCTTTTTAATCTCACGCTTCCCGATTGAGGTAATTAAACCCCGAGCTTTATCTATCCCTTTAATTAAAACGATTAATTCCTGGAATTGACGTGAAGGCGTGTTTTCTAGCCCAATCCTGTTTATTCCAATTACGTGCAAATAGATGAAAACTATACTGTGTATGTTAAGAGAGAGAGAGAGAGAAAGAGAGAGAGAGAGAAAGAGAGAGAAGAGAGAGAGAAAGAGAGAGAGAGAGAAAGCGAGCGAATGAGCGAGAGAGAGAGAAAGCGAGCGAGCGAGTGAGCGAGAGAGAGAGAAAGTGAAAAAGAAAGAGAGAGAGAGCGAGAGAGAGAGAGAAAACGAGCGAGTGAGCGAGAGAGAGAGAGAGAGGAGAGAGAGAGAGAGAGAGAGAGAGAGAGAGAGAGAGAGAGAGAGAGAGAGAGAGAGAGAGAGAGAGAGAGAGAGAGAGAGAGAGAGAGAGAGAGAGAGAGAGAGAGAGAGAGAGAGAGAGAGAGGGAGGGAGGGAGGGAGGGAAGGAGAAAAGAAGAGAGAGAAAGCGAGCGAGTGAGAGAGAGAGAGAAAGCGAGCGAACGAGTGAGGCGAGAGAGAGAGAGAGAGAGAGAGTGAAAGAAAGAGAGAGAGCAAGAGAAGGAGAAAGAAAGAGAGGGCGAGCGAGCGAACGAGAAAGAGAGAGAGCGAGAGAGTGAGTGTGTGTGTGTGTGAGTGAGTGAGAGAAGAGAGAGAGAGAGAGAGAGAGAGAGAGAGAGAGAGAGAGAGAGAGAGAGAGAGAGAGAGAGAGAGAGAGAGAGAAAGCAAGCGATAGTGTGATAGTGTGTGTGAGTAATGCGAAGGTAGTACAAAAATCTAAGGTGCACAACCCACTTTTCAGGTAACTCCCTCAAGGCACTTCTTTTATAAAAAAGTGAAATCATAACTTTAATATATCAGAAAAAGAGATCTATAAGACGTTTTCAATCGTTCACACAATAAGTTAAACAAAAAAAAAATTCAAAAGATCACAGAAGTAAAACAAACGAAGAAAATCAGAAATGAAAATAGATATAATTGTAGGAAAATAACGAAGACGCGCGAAACATGAAAATGAATGAATAAACAAACAAATAAATGAAAATAATAGACAAAAAAGATTGATAGATGGAGACAAAAAAAGAGAAAAAACAATAAAAAAGGCGAGTTATCTATACCTCGATTTCAAAGGGAAAAAGGATGCTCGATCTGGGCAGAAAAAACAAACAAGCTAACAAATTCAGCATCCACGATATTGCAGGGATATGATGATAATGATAATAATGATATTATTAATAATAGTAATTTTTCATTGTATTTTTCCCTTTTTTCCTATGTCTTTTCTTCTTTTTTCTTTGTTAGGTTTATTTATTATTATTAGCGTTATTTGCGCCAGAACGATAATAATAATAATGATAATAATGATGATGATGAGTAAATGATAGTAATGATAATATGATAACAATAATGATGATAATAATGATGAAAAATAATGATAATTATATGAAAATAATGAATATTGATAATGATAATAATATTATTGATGATAATGAAAATGATGATGATGATGATGATGCTGACAATAATAATGAATATAACAATGATAACAACTTTGATAAGAGCAGCAACTATTTGAAGCGATAACAATAATAACAATAACAATAATCACCATCATTATCGTCATCCCTGTTATAGTTATGATCACATCACCACAACTTTTCGACTTTCAATTTCCAGGCAATTTTTTAGAAACATCCTATTTGGTTGACATGTCCCCACCCCCCTCTCAATCAATCAATCAATCAATCTCGAAACCCTTTAGTTCCGTCTACGAAACACGATTAAATTTCTGATCATCTCCGACTGGAAGGTGAATGAAATGGTATTAACTGCGAATAAAATCGTTAACTGGAGCAAAACATGTGTTGGTGTTGCGGGTATTGCATTGCCGTGTTATAGGGTGTGGCGAAGAGGGAGAGAGAGAGGGGGAGGGAGTGATAGGAGGAAGGAAGGAAGGAAGGAGAGATGGGGGGGGGAGCGAAGAAGGGAGGGAGAGAGGATGGGAGGGAAGGAGGGAGGGAGAGAGAGATAGGAGGAGGGAAGGAAGGAGAGATGGGGGAGCGAAGAAGGGAGGGAAAGAGGATGGGAGAGAGGGAGGGAGGGAGAGAGAGATAGGAGGAGGGAAGGAAGGAAGAGATAGGGGGAGTGAAGAAGGGGGGAAAGAGGATGGGAGAGAGGGAGAGAGAGAGAGATAGGGGTAGGAAAAGAGGGAGGGAGAAAAGAAGAAAGGGGGGAGAGAGAGGAAGGGACAGCGGGAGGGAGGGAAAGATGAGAGAGAAAGAGAGAGAAGAGAGAGAGAGAGAGAGAGAGAGAGAGAAGAGAGAGAGAGAGAGAGAGAGAGAGAGAGAGAGAGAGAGAGAGAGAGAGAAGAGAGAAAGAGAGAGAGAGAGAGAGAAGAGAGAGAAGAGAGAAGAGAGAGAGAGAGAAAGAGAGAGAGAGAGAGAGAGAGAGAGAGAGAGAGAGAGAGAGAGAGAGAGAGAGAGAGAGAGAGAGAGAGAAAGACAGAGAGAGAGAGAGAGAAGAAGAAATGTAATTTTTGACATGAAATGGTCGATAAAGAACCAGTCCTCTTCCCTGACATACTCTCCGCAACAGACATTTCCAAAGGGATGCGATTAATACCCTATACCAATCCTATCTTCCTATGCCGTTATTCCTATCATCCTTCTTCCCATTTTCATCAAACGCATTATCCACCGCGCTCTTTATCAAATTCCACCTCATTCCCCAACGCTCCTTCCCGCTTGCCTTACCTCTGATAATGTTTTCTCCCACTGAATTCCCAAATACATCCTTTCCTTCACGATATGTCAAAATGATTTCCTTTTCCTCCTTCTCCTCCTCCCTCTCTTCTTCTTCTTCTTTTTTTCTCCTCCTCCTCCCCCTCCTCCTCCACCTCTTCTCTTCCTCCCCTCCTCCTCCTTTTCCTCCTCTTCTCCTCCTCCTCCTCCTCCCTCTAGTCCCTCCTCCTCCCTCCTCCTCCTCCTCTCCCTCTCCTCCCTCCACACCATCACCACTCCTCCTCTCCTCCTCCACCTCCTCCTCCTCCTCCTCTCCCTCCCCACCTCCCCCTCCTCCTCCTCCTCCTGAAAGCAGCCTCACCTCGGAAGCTAATTTCGCCCTTGCAAATTGGCATGACAGGTGCGATCTTTCTCAGTCAATGCCGGGAGAGGAGTTGCGCTGCATCTCTCTTAAGCATAATTGTATGGAAATGGATGTTCTGATAGAAACTGCAGAAGGGGAGCGAGGAGGGAGTGGATTTTGCCCTTGAGTAGGAGGAGGGCGCTTGTCTGAACTGTGTATACGTATGTGTTAAATGTATATGTACTTACATATTTATACATTACATATATATATATATATATATATATATAATATATATATATATATATATATATATATATATATATATATATATAT